GTAAATGGGGGTCTACATCTTTGTATTCATCTTTAGTAGAATGTATACATTTTATAATTATTTTACAATAAGCAGGATCTTTAAGGAGTTCAGTATTTAGTTTATATTGCCCTTTCCCAAACTTGAAATTTGAAAACTCAAACAAAGTCACTACCATACGGTGATCACTAAAACCTATTCCTTTTATAACGGACTCTTTTATAGCAGAGACAAGAGACTCACCAGCAAAAATATAGTCAAGTCGTCTGGCAATCATTGGGCTACCTGTAGGCTTTTTCCAAAGGATGCAGAGATTTCAATGAATCTGTCAGACTTACAGTGTGTATGAAGTTTTGAAAATATTGACATATATCCTTCCTATGCTCCGCTCCCGAAATTATGTCTAACTCCCCAACAGCTATGTTAAAATCCCCCATGCATATTATATTTCCGTTGCCTTCATCAGCCAAATATTGCTTTATTTGAGTACTAAGCTCGTCTATGAATGCTATTTTTTCCCTTATTTCGCAAGGTGCATAAACATTTATAAAGAACAATTTTTCGCTTCCCATCACAACAGAAGATATTAAGATCCTATCAGTCCTACAGATTATATTTATATCTTTCACATTAAAACGTGGATTAAACAAGGTGACAAGACCTTTGCTCCTATTACTTCCATGACTAAAGTGTATAACACCACCCCATTGCTTTAATAATTCATTTTGATCTAACTCTGATAAATGACTTTCCTGTATACCTATTACGTCTAATTTTTCAGACCGAAAATTTTTTAAGACTGCTGATCGTTTCTTATGATTTTTAAATCCCCGTACATTTAATGTTCCTACCTTGAGTGGTTCATCTAAATCCAGTCTGGTTCTACCCGCCATATCGCTGTTCGTTCTCGTAGTCCGATTGTACAGGCATTATCGTCGTCATCGTGGTCCGTCCTTCCTCAACGCTTCGAGCGCCGCGATGTTGGTGCCTCATCCTCGGGACTCAGCGGCTCCACTCTCTTCCTGCTGCTGGACCGCTGTGGCTGTCCTGAGGAGAGAATTTCGGGAAGAGTAGGTTGTACTATTGATTGGCGACCACGGTCACCCTTATTTTCAGGGGCTGGGCAAGTCTTAGAGGTCTGCATTTCCCGGCCTTTATCTTTCTTACTCTTCTTCACCGGCACTTTTTAAAAATTTTCTAAAGATTGGTCCGAATCAGAATTGTCTTCCTCCGATTGGCTCACCTCAGATTTTTCGGATTCGCGTCCATTAAAGGACTCACTGTCACCCTCAGGGGGATGGGTGATCCCACTCCCTACTTGTGAGGGAGCCGCTTCCTGGCAAGTACCAGCTTCCGATGTGGCAGGCTCCTCGACAGCCTTACCAACTGTCTGGCACTGAGGGTCTCCTCTGTGGTGCCCTTGTTCACCACACGCAAAACATGTAATGACAGGTTTGGGCTGCTCTCTATAGTAGAGCTTAGCCAGGAATGAACCTACCTGGAGCCTGTTAGGGAGAGGGGAAGATGGCAGATCAATCCAACAGAATCTGCGTCCTGTTACCCACCTGGTCAGTTGACCCTCCCTGTTGCGGGCTTTTTCCCACAGCAGTTGTGACCGGAACTTCACACCAGCCTCGCGGAGGTAGCCTAGCCTTCGAGGTCCGCACTCGCCACAGAGACCGGGAGTCCATCAATGGTGAGGCGGGTCGCTGGAACCTCATTACCCTGACTGTCCCTGATGACAAGAGGGTTCTGAGACTTTAGTGGTACTACCTTACCTCTAACGTGAACGTGGAAGATACCAGTTTCGCCCTGATTGCTGAGTTAGCGGGGTATAGGCGCCAGAGTGCTCCGAGATGCTGGGCACCAACTATTCCCCCGAACCCCACCAACCGTTCTGCTGCTTCACAGATCTCAACGTGGGTGACGTCCTCTGGCACTTCCTGCCGAAGAAAAATAATAAGTTACAGAGTTGTTATTCACTACATGACAAAACAAAATACGCCTCTAGACTCTATAAAGATTGTCTTTTTGTTGTTTCTTTCGTTCCGGTGATGTAAACTTAAAAATAATTATCGTGCTAGCTTTTTGACTGAATTTATAATAGGCGAATTTACCACTGACGCGTTATATATATATACAAATGTAATGACAAGTCAAGGTTACTAGATCTACTTCTTTACTCCCATTAATTTTCCTTTTCTTAAAACAAAATCTTTTCTTGTGGAGCAATAGAACTCAAACACCCCAGAACAGCAACAGTTTTACCACAACAACATTCAACAGAGGAAAGTATATGTTCCTCCTGTAACAGATTGACTTTGATTATCTATTACAAGCGCACAGCTCATTTAAGACATGGAGCCAGCCATCAAGATAGACAAGATGCCAAAGGGGACACAATCATGACAATTAATAGGTTGCTACTTAGAAGATTTGTGTCCCTGTATGATTATTGCAGATTGATTTTTTTTCTTTTTTTACTGTAATACCAATCCGACGCCTGAGCAAAAATTAATAAATAAACTGAATTGAAGTTTGAGCGAAAAAACGCTATTTTGCATAGTCCGAAATGTTTCGCATATTTTTAGGGGGATAGAAAAGTAATGGGTGGGTTTAACACCCCTTTTAACACTATTACGTTATCTAAGAGTTGGGCCTCTGAATTTAACGTCCATCTCCAATAGAACCGTATGGTTTGGTAGAAATTGACGCAGGTAGTTGAAAGTTATCTATAAAAAATCATTAATTTGAGTTGGGCCGTGGAATGTTATTCCTTTGACAAGGATACAAACGTCCTCCTCGATGCTGCTGGAATTCGAACTCGTAAATTCTTCCATCGCAAGTATCGGCCTTTGCCTTTGGCATCAAGCCAGCAATAGCAGAGATATTCTTGAAAAATACTCTCCCTAACAGGGTCTCTTTGGCCCTCACGGAGAATACGGGTACAATCTCGCTAGGATTTTGCACGGGGCTCTATTAAGCCTTTTGAATTCTTAAAAAATACTAATTACTGTGTCGTGCGTACTTTGTTTGCAGAGTAACATCTACTAAACAATGACAATAAGATAAAATGAGATAAGATACATCTTTATTGTCCAGATCCTGGTCCACTGTTTTGGTGTTTTACGGCACACATATACTCAAACACACACACACACACACACACACACACACACACACACACACACACACACACACACACACACACACACACAAACTCAGCCCCCCCCCCCCCATACACACACCACAGACATGTACACACGCATGGTTGTCGACTAGCTGACTACGTTCTAAAAAGCCTTCAAGGTGGGATAGTTTTAGAGTTTTAGTTTTTTAGAAAGACTTTTGTGGAACTTTCAACACAGTATTTAAGTCATCATGATATAAGTTCCGATGATGAGGTGTTGCTTCAGCCTAGAATAACGTGCACAAGAAGGCGGGGCAGATGAGGACGATAGATCTTTGTTAGGAGGAGCAAGCCACCCCAGAGAGCCCTCCAACCACCTCAATATCATAATATGGGATACAAGAATGAAGGACAATGGAAGACACAGAGATGTGGACAATGTTGGACATAAATCAGCAAAGAAATGAGCTGATGGAATTGACAGTTCATCACCGTTTCTTCTCTCTATACATGGAGGCCCCATGTTCTGAACACTCAATTTTTTTATACACTTGGTTGGCAACTCAAGTATGGGTAGCACTGTACCAGCTAGACCTCGATTTATAAGTCATTGAATGAGCTTGTCATCGTCATGTTTTGAGCAAAACTGGCGTTTGCCGTGTGTCAATCGTCTCTGTACGAGCTTGACATGAGCAATAGTTTTTATTTTTTCATAGCGAAAAGTTATCTTTTTTTTTCAGATACGATTTACGGGATTTCGAATGCGGAATTAAACACTCCAGTTGAGATGGGAGAGAGAGAGAGAGAGAGAGAGAGAGAGAGAGAGAGAGAGAGAGAGAGAGAGAGAGAGAGAGAGAGAGAGAGAGAGAGAGAGAGGGAGAGAGAGAGAGAGAGAGAGGGGGTGGGAGAGGGTGAGAGAGAGACAGACGGAGAGAGGGGAGAGAGGGGGGAGATACACACACACACACACACACACACACAGAGAGAGAGAGAGAGAGAGGGGGGGGGGGGAGAGAGAGAGAGAGAGAGAGAGAGAGAGAGAGAGAGAGAGAGAGAGAGAGAGAGAGAGAGAGGCGGAGGAGCAGGAGGAGGAGTGAAGACTCTAAACAAAGTGAGACAAAGTGAGGACTCAAACTGTAAAAGAGGATCGCAACGATAGTCAGTATGCCAACTGATCTGAAGACGAGCAACAGCAAATTGTCAACAGACCAAAGTAGGGAACCAAACAAATCTGAGAAGATTCTATTTGTCCCCATCACTTTGAGGTCGTGTGTACCGTGCCTCCGCGCCTGATGTGACTGACTGGTGTGCTGTACGTGTAACCACAACACACGGGGAAAGATTTTGTACACCAGCAACTCGACTGCTAGAGGATCTTTGGCTTTGGCTTTTTTGCGTTGTTTTTATTAACCAAACTAAGGTTATGGTACAATTTCAAACGGTAGGACCTGTCATGGGTTCTAAGATTACTAAGGAAGCCTAAGTTCAAATCCCTTTCTTGGCATCATTAGTGACAATGCAGGCTACAATTCAGAACTTGTTTCACATGGACATATTTATTGATGAAAATCTCGCTTCATGGTTCAGCAAAATAATGGCATTGTGTCGAAAATGTTTTGCTTCAGCTAATTTAATACACGTACCCGACCGTTCTTCCCGAGTACCCGAACAAAACAGTACACTCACAAGGCAATCAAAACTCTGAATTCTACAACTTTGTAAGTGTCCGTCTGGTCCTAATTTAATTATTATAGTGTTATCAAGATATGGAAAAAATCGAAAAACGTTTGGCACCATGAGGTTCAAAGGTGTAAGGTCAACATTTCAGCCAATCAGACTAAAGTTGCTGTATTACTTTCATAACATTTCGCTTACTGCTTCATTTCATCATGGGACGTCGTGGGCGAAGGAAGCACGGCTGACTGGGAGCTCGCGAACGGTGACTGGGACCCATCGATTGATTCATGTAAGCGTCCGTAGGCCCATTTCAAGGGCCAGACAGGGCTTTAAAAATATAAAAAAAATATTTAAAAATCTCAAAGTAATTATTTGCTCTTCCATTACGAGTCAAGGAACAATATCTAGATTCTAGATCTTGATCTAGATTTCTATATCTATATCTAGATCTAGATATAGATAAGATCTAGATCTAGATCTAGATCTAGATATAGATCTAGATTAGCTGCTAACTAACAGCTCGCCCAGCGAGTGACGATTTTTGAGAAAATCACTGTTTTTCCTCTTTCTCGGCTCATAAGTTTATTAGTTCTTGGCCTAACATCATAATACCAACATGAAATGAGAGGTCTAGATCTGTGTGTGCTTTTTGTTTCCGTGTTAGCTTCAATAGGGAGAGAAATGTGTAACATAATATATAGATTTTTAAAAGTTTAGGCTACAACTTACTACAAGCCACAAGGGTCGTCATGCGTTCTGCCACAACGATTAGCTATGTGGAAAATTCCGCTCGAATGAACAGGGCCTCCCACCCCACCTCCTCCCATTTCTCAAAAGAAAGTGGCTATTCTCACCCGCCCGGAAGTTCTCGCAAGATCTACTCCTCCCCTCTTCTCTCTCTCTCTGTCTCTTTCTGAATACTGTCTATCGGTGTGGACGATCAAATTGACCAAAACAAAGTTAAAAAATGATGTTAAAACAAAAGTAAATTAATTTGGTTGTCTACAAAGATGCTAGGGCTATTTAACTTTTCGAATCGAGCCGAACTACGCGGGTCGCCATTTTGTTTTGTCCTCTCTCTCACTCTCTCTCTCTCCACTGCCCACAGACAAAATTGTACGCTTTTAGTAGGCTACAAGTACAGTTGTAATGGAACGTTTGTTCACAGCACAGAATTCTACAATTTTTCTCTTATCACAGTGTAGAATTCTATGGTTTAGGGTGAACGCAAAATTTGTTGACACGCGCACCGGGTGAGAATAGCCACAAGACCCGCCTGCACTATTCTCACCCCGGGTGAGAATAGAGGTGGCCTTCTCAAAATTAGTCTCATCTCTGGTCATTTGCAGACTTACCTTTTTTATTATGGCAATCATAAATATTTACCTTGGAGTAACTATTATTAGGAGAGGCCGCGAGTCGCGTAACGTGAAGCCGCTTCAGACGACTGTCGGCCATGTTTGTGAGATCAGCTCAGTTCTCTCAGTTGTAAACTTACTGTCAACCGAATGGCAGTTTGCGTAGCGTTCGGGTCCGGTGGGCCTCTCATTCGAAGGTCCCGGGTTCGATCCGAGTAGTGACGGAAAAATGTTATTCTCTAAAATTCTACTTTCTCTTTCGTCTGCTATCGTCTCCACTTTCTGCCCCTACCTCCTCAGGGCTTCGCACTCTTTCTGCAGCCTTTCTACTGCTACTCCTTGGCTCCTTCTTACTTCTGTCTTTCAGCCACACCCCTGATCTTCTGGTAGGAAAGATCTACCCCTAGCCTTCTCGGACAAGGGCGAAAAAATCTCGGAGGCTCGACAGAGGTTGCGTATGCAAGTTGCGCAAATTAAAGGTCCTTTAGTGGTCTAAAATCGATAAGAGTAGGCTTCGGTCGCCACCCGCGCAAAATTCAAAATTTCCTACCAACTTAAAATGTTTAATGTGTCCCTTGCGCTCATATGACTTATGCAGTTGCGAGTGCCGTAAAACACTTATAAGGCCTACGAAAAATGTTTTTAAAAATATCAGTCTCTAGCAATGGCACTGAACTTGATGACGAAGTGCCTTCTGATTTAGCCGTAAATGCATCTCACAGTAAAAACAGAACGAAAAAAGATTGCACGTTTGTGCCTAGATCTAGTCTGGCATACTGGTCAATTTACTCTGAGAATACTATTGCTTAAATGGCTGGTTTTGTGTTGTTAAGGTTTACAAAGCATTTGAAAATGTGAAACCTTCATCGGTGCCTTAGTTGACTCCAGTGTGTCAAATGTAACTTCCTTGCTGTTTTTGAAGTCTCGTCGGAGGTTTGACAGTGCCTTCAAAGAATGTCATTGAAGTGCGTTTGATGTGTGAATAACATTTTCGATGTCATGTGTAGTCTGTCTGTGCAGGGGGTGTGACATTGTCAAAAGAGAAATGTCACAAATTAGTGCAATCTGTCTTGAAATTCTTCTTATTATAAGCCTATCATTTCAAATTTTGTATTAATTTTTCAATACACTTAACAGTATTTTGTAAAATTTAGATAAAGTGTCTGGGTGTTTTAAAGGTGCCCTTCCCTCCTCGTTTTATTTGGGGGGAGGGGGGGCTGTTTTCTTCTTTTTTTTTCTTCTTTTTTTTCGGGGGGGGGTTAATTTCCACCATCATACTTCACTCTTATCTGCCTTGCCCTCTCCTTCCTCTTTCTTCGCCCATCCCATCCCACCCTCACTACCATATTTTGTGTAATCATTTTCAATTTTGTTTTATATATATATATATATATATATATATATATATATATATATTGTTGTATGTTTAAGTAAAGAAGTCTACGTTTTAGTAAAAATAATGTCAGTAATGACATTATTTTGCACTGATGAAGTTCTATGAACGAAAAGTCCGCAAATTTTGTTATCCCGTTTATATTTTTGTTTTGATCCTTATTATCCCAATTTCTCCTCTAAAACAAGTTTAAAAATTATCTTACCGTCACAATGTGTATACATAGTACATGTATTACTAAATGTTCGACTGAGTGAGCTGGTAATTTGATGCAAGTAAGATTTATTAACTTCCTTATTATATTACAACTGTGCGTGGGTGCTTATAATGCTGTAATTAACATTGACAAAGAAATTTCGAGAGAAAATGGAGTCCGAGCAGCTTGTTTTGAAAGGAGATTACGCAGCGTACGCTGCATTGTTTTGAACTTACAAAGATGGCGGCAGGCCCGATAAGCTCCGCCCTTTCGGCTTCAACTTGGTTGGAACTGTTGAGCGGGCGACGCAACGTTAGGGCCTCTCCCTATATAGTTACTCCAAGATATTTACCATCGCAATATTATTTGATCTAAAGGGAACGCCAAAGACACGTCAAAATGAAGCAAGCCACCTACCTACACACCACAATTGTGTAATGTCACTTCCTTGGTCTAAAATGTTAAATGCCCCCCCCCCCCACCCCCAGGGCTGTCGTTTCAGGGCTGTCGTTTCTATGGCTAGTCAGGTGGGACTTACGCTATGCTATGTCTGACCGCCTTTGATTGCAAATCAGTGGTCGATTGGGCGGGACTTATTGAAGACTGCCGCAGTGCACTAGACCGTCAACTAAATCAGTACCCGAAATTGCAATTTTTTCCTTTAATGTCCTTTTTCCGCCTTGAAAATAATACTGACAAATAATCAATGTATTCAGTATTTCGGACAGTATTGTTTTCTCAAACAGATCAAAATAAAAGAGGAGAGGCTGAAGAGGAATTGGAGACACACGCTTCCCAATTCGAATACGGTTCAAGCGTGTATCCTTCCAGAGAAAAAGAAATTGCTCTAGCAGTTTGGGTGAGCCATGAGCCCAGCCAATATGTCCGGAGGAAACACACTTCAGAAAAATCGTTTTTTGGTGCTGTACGGATCTGCAACTGGACAGGCTCAAGCTATGGCTGAGGAAATCTGTGAAAAGGCCACTGGCTTTGGTCTGACTGCAGAGCTACATCCAATGGATGAAATAGGAAAACGGGTAAGGCTTACATTGTTGGAGAAAACTGGAAAGAATACAGACTGTTTTAAATGACAATGAATTATTGTTACATATAAAATAGTGCACTTTTTTTTCTTTTTTACCCTGCTTTGTTAATAGAATATTATTGATTTGAAAAAAAAAAAAAGTGTCTCCTTTTGGAAGTGAGCAAGTTTTTTTTTGTAATGTAAGTTAAAGTTATTTATTGATGTCTGTTTGTTTTACCAAATACAGTCGATCTTGCTCTAGCAGCCATTTGTCCAACACAATCACCCACACAGGGGACTACTACTACTTCCCATTTTTCCCCTTTTCGGTTATTAAAATATTATAATGACACTGTCTAAGACATCCTCCTATTTTTATATATTTTTTTGTGTGTTTTACGGCGCTCGCAACTGTGTAAGGTCATATGAGTGTGCAGGACACATTAAACATTTTCAGTTGGTAGGAAATTTTGAATTTTGCCAGGGTGGCGGCCGAAGCGTACTCTTATCAATTCTTTGACCACCAAGGGATATTTAACATGCGCAACTTGTACACGGGACCTCCAAGATTTTTTGCCCCTGTCCGAGAAGGCTAGGTGTAGATCTTTCCTGTCATAAGATCAGGGGTGTGGCTGAAAGACAGTAGTAAGAAGGAGCAAGGAGTAGCAGTAGAAAAGCTGCAGAAAGAGTCAGTAACCTGAGCTGAGGGGGTGGGGGCAGAAAGTAGAGAGGAAAGCAGACGAGAGAACATTGTTAGAGAGCAGGAAAAGATGTGAAAGGAGAAAATGTTAGAGAATAAAATTTCTGTCGCTATCCAGATTCAAACCTGCAATTTATTGAACGAGAGGCGAACACGTTAACCTAGACAATAAGAGCCCATCCGCCTGTCTAAGACAAGCAGCAGCACTTTTTTGCCAAGATAATCATATTTTATCTTTCTGTCCCAGTGACACCTTTACCAAAGAAAAGATGATGTCATGTTGATGGCCTTTGTCAGTTTTTATACATACTGCTACCATTCAGTGCAGTTTGAGAACACATCCTGACTTCTGTACAGAAATGTACTAATTGCATTTTATTAATTTTTTTTGGTCACTCCTTTGAAAACATGAGGATGGATAAATATAGTGAATTTTCATAATTATTGTCGTTTTTCGCAAAATGTAATTTTGCTGGACTCTGATTTTGCCTCCTATGTTGGAAAGAAAGTGTAGACCTATTTACCACAACAAAGACAGTGCCTTCCTTTACTCTTAGGCCTACCATTGTGCTGACAATTTGGATTTTTATTGTCACATTGATTTTGTTTTCTGTCCCCATATCATTGTCTTATAGCAAAGTATGACCACTGGGGTCCTCTTACATGTTTCAGTTCAACTTAGAGCATGAACAGTGTGTAGTTATGGTTGCATCCACTACCGGAGACGGAGACCCGCCACCAAATGCGGAAAAATTCATGCGCAGGATCAAGAAGAGAACCCTTCCGACGGACTACTTGGCACACCTGCATTATGCTTTACTGGGTAAGTCTGCTTAGTTTGTAGAGTGCCGTCGGTAGCCTAGTAGATAGGCTACCAGACTCTCGTAATCGTGAGATTTGTGGGTTCAGGGATTCAAACCTCAGCTTGGTCTAACGTTGTGTCCTTGGGAAAGGCACTTCACACGAATTTCCCACTTGGCTCTGTCTTTTCGGAGACGGATGTTGAACTCGGAGGTCCAGCCCCTTAAATAACCTAATAATGTTGACAGGGACGTTAAACACACACCGTTTGGTTTGTAAAAGATACTATTGCAGTCATTTAAGAGAATGATGATATTACCTCCCTTATTTGTATTTTAAGAATATTGTATTCTGTTAGTTTTCTCTTCGCAAACCCCTTTGTTACCAAGGGGTATGCGTTCCTACTTTCAGCATTGATTTTCAGCTAAGCTCATTAGCCAGGAAAGTAGTCTCATGTCTCAGTATTAACGGGAGGAGCTACCCTTGAGGACCATTTTCTATGTTTGTTGCCTGAGATCAAATCTAAGTACACATAATATAAGTTAGACGTAATAAAATCTCTTGATAGGCAGTTTTATTTGGCATAGCTGTAGCAGTTGCTATAGAAACGGTGGCCATCTTGAAAATAAACAATGAATTTCAAATCCCTACGGCTTTCTTATTTACTGATCAAATTTGGTGAGGGTATACCTGAACCGGACACTATCAGAGTAACAGTAAATTTTTCTCAATAGTGCAAAAGAAGAAAAAAAAAGAGAATTTTCCCAAAGTATCAAGAACTTTTTCTAAATTTAGGTTGCCTAATCGCTTGCCAATGGAAGAAAGTGTAATTTTTTTCACAAATATCTCTCTGTTACATTTATGGTTGCCTTGCCATAAATGTTTCCTGAAAGTTTTATGTGAAAAAGATGAAAACTAAAGAAGAATTAGGGAAATAAAAGCGGGGAAAAAATTACATTTTGCGAAAAACGACAATAATTATGAAAATTCACTATATTTATCCATCCTCATGTTTTCAAAGGCAATTTACCAGAAGAATAAAGACTTTATCAATAATCAATTGTATCCATGCTATTTTTAGACAAAAGAACTTCAAAAATTGGCCAACATAAAATTTGCATAGCTACAGCCTGACCCAAAATTTGCAAAAATCAAGGGTCGCTCCTCCCCTTAATGGACTCGCGGCCTACAACTTTTAATCCGCTGAGACGTATTTCAGATCCCAGGTCTTCGATCATGTCAAATTGCGGCTCTCCATCCAGGTCCGCGAGTCACATTTAGGGAAAGTGTTAAATCCTTACTATTTTAAAGAAAGAGTAAAAGTTGTTATGATGATCAAGTTCAAGGATCAAGAAAACTTAAAGCACCAGCAAAAGTTTGTTATGGAATCATGTTGTTGTGTAATTTTTTATTGAGATTGTGAAGAGTAAATAAAGCCTGAAAAAAAAAATCATGATGTTTCTAGAGTATTGCTACATGGGTACCTGCTGCAAAGCAAGCAATCATTTTAATGTGTCATTACTGTGTTTATTTGTCAGGTTTGGGGGATACAAACTACAGTTCTTTCTGCCGTTGTGCCAAAGACCTGGACAATCGTCTTCTGGCGCTGGGTGCAAGACAGTTCTTCGCGACAGGCTTTGCAGATGATGGTGTTGGGTGAGATTTGATTTTTTTCCCCATTCTATCATGTGTCAGCTTTGGCTGGATAGTATTTTTTAAAAATCAGCTCATCAGTTGGAAGAAATTTCTTCTCACACATTTAAAACCTAGTTAACCAAAGTGAATTGTGTGAATTAGTAGCAATACTTAGGACCATGAGTAAAAAAATGGGCAAAGAAAGGTTCCCATGATTTGGCTATGATACGGCACACTTACACAAATGACAACCATGTATACTGTACTAACGCAATATTGGTAAAATTTACCGATCGCTCTGCCTTTCATAGAATTTTTACATCATCCTTTGCAACAACACGCAATGAAGTAGTAGTAAGATTTGCACTGGGACGTGAAAACAACTACCTTGTACTGAATATGTCTAAAGCTTAAAAATTTCTAAATTTCAGACTTTAAAAATGTGTTAAGAATTGACGAAGAGCAGTTTGTATTTGTGGGAATGTATGAGTATCTTAGATTCTATGTGGATGATTAATTAAATTTGCATCATGTGCCGAACGTTTGTAAAAAAAACGAAACCCTTTTATATTCAAATTTTCTTCGTTTGAAATTCATAGTACCATTAAAATTTTTTTTTACGTCTCCGTAGTATAAAATGTAATTTCTTTGGGCATCACTTGTTAGTGTGCTACAGTAACAACCGTGGACAAAAAGAAAATAAACATCATTAGGAAAGCAGGAAAAATAGTAAATTGTAAACTTTTGATTTTGATGCCATTTATTCTGATGCATGTTTTCATAGAATTTATAAGTCAATGGTGAATGATAGTGAACACCCCTTCGGGATGCATATATATATATATGCATAATATGCAAGACCTGCTGAAAGCAATAAAATCCTCCAACCTGCTTCAAAAACAGAGATACAAGAACTCCTTTGTCCCCTTATCTGTCTGAAAAAGAACAATATACTAAGACTGTGATCCTTTTGTGTGTGTTTCTGCTTTTATTTAATGTGTTTACCAGATGTGTATGGAAGAGAAGGAGAGAAGACTGAGTGTATATGTTTGTGTATGTGTGTGAGAGAGAGAAAAAGAGAGACCGTTTCTTTACACTTGTATGAGTAGGTTGTGCATTCATGTACTTTATCATTGTGCATGAATGTGATGGGTGCATTTTGGTGTTGATGATCTGGAATGTCCAGCCCAAATTTCCCAATGGATCAATTATTTTATCTTATATGACCTGCCTTTTCCAAATTTTAACTGTGGAATGGAGTATTTTTAAGTTACTGTCAGAACAAATGTAAATATCTCTTTTGTCAATAATTTATTCTAATGTAAGCCTGATATTGCTGTTTTCCAGTTTTAAAAAATGTTACCCTTTGGGGTTACTTTATTTGACAAATTTAGAAGATTGTGTTTTTAAAAATGTTTTTATATAAAATACTGTGTTTTGACAGGCTTGAGATTGTTGCTGAGCCTTGGCTTGAGGGTATTTACCCTGCATTACAAAAGTTTCTGGGAGTGACTGAGGGCACTGGTGGCTCCCTCACAGAGAAGGTGGAGGCACCCGCACAATCCTCACCAGCAAGTGTGGACATATCGGAGGCGCGGGATTCAACAAAACAAGACAATGTGGAGGTGGTGTTAACGAACTCGGGTGTGAGAGAATCTCAAATAGAATCTCAGAGTGATACAATTGAAGCTTTTAAATCTGTGACTTGTGATGAAATTTCTGTTAAGGAAACAAGGGCTTCGGAGGGTAATGGTGATGGCTCAGTGCAAGTAAAAAATTCTCAAGACTGCTCAGTCAATGGTTGTGATGCTGAACTTACGGTTGAGGTTCAGTCTAAAATCTTGGGCCAGAAAACTTTTTTTGACAGCCAGCGAAAGTGTGAGACACCATGCCAGCTTGTTGATTTCGCTGCAGCTAGTGATGCCCCCTGTGCCTTGGTCAGCTCTGACTCAGAGCTAGCGGAAAAATCCCTGACGGTACCAGTTTTACCACCCGCGTATCTTGAAGCATCGTTCTCTGGAGATCCTGTGAATGTGAGTTTTATGATTTTTTTTCCCTGTTTTTTTTCTTAGTTGTTTAAGTTGCTTTTTTGTAGATGCTTTGCTGTCTGCAAGAGATATTTCTTCTGTATTTGGTTTGGAAATTGTCTTCAGAGAGAAATTGTAGTAATATAATCCTGTGGGTCTGACACGCATGATTGAATAGTCACTTATGAGGTTCAGAATGTTAAGTAGTTTGTCATAGTTTTTCAAACAGAAAGAAACCACAAATTTAAGTACAGTCGAACCTGTGTATTTATAAGCTCAGAGCGGATATTTGTAAGGGACAGAGTACAGAGCACTAAATAAATGCAGCAATCCAATCTGTTTTTATTTTTATTATTATTATTATCATTATTGTTCATTATTATCATTACTGTTATTGCTACTTTCTACCAGCTCCGTGAGCTGAGTTTCCAGAATGACTACAAGCTGCCCAGTGCAGTCTCTCCCGTGATCAAAGTGCAGGTCTCAGCTGCCCGAGTACTCACCCACCCTCAGGCAGTGAAGAAAACACTTCTGCTCTCTCTCAATCTTCAGGTAGGAAACATTCTCCCCAGTTTTTAAAAAAATCCCTTTGAGCCCTGGATCCTTAAGACTGCAGGACTAGAGGTCCTGTGTGTTGGCTGCTTGATACACACTGCCACATCTTGAGGCATGGGTTTTGTACGTAGAGGGAGGGGCAAAGATTGTCATGTTACAGGTTCTTGCACGCGTTCAATAGATTAAAGACATTTTTATCTAAACTTCTTCTATAAATTCAATGCCTGTTTATGCCCTTGAGAGTTTTGACCTGTTTTTTGGGGGTTTTTTTTTAAAACCTTATCAATCAAGTTTAGATAGTTATAATCTTGAAGAATTAAACATCATTTCCATCAAACTAAACGCCCAGACTGCAGGTGTTAACAGGTTAAAAATAAAAGTGGGTAGAAGTTGTACAGTGATAGCTTTCCTTGGATTGCAGAGGGGACAACGGTGCCATCTTGTATCTTTCTTCAGGGCGCGGGTGTGAACTATCGTCCTGGTGACTCCATCTCAGTAATCTGCCCCAACAATTGCAGCGAGGTGGACATGCTCTTAGAAAGGTCAGTAACGTCCAGTGGCTAAACGGTTACTGAGCTTGGACATAGATTTTTGGGGTTCTGGTCCAGTTCTTGACGTATTTAACTTGTAGCTGGATTTGGCTGTTCGGGTGATGTACAAAATATCTTCATATAAGCATAGCCGTCTCTCAAAAAGTTACATTATATATTAAATTAAAGGAAATTGAATGAGAAATACATTCAATTAACATATGCCTGCATTACAAGGGTTAAAATGGGTTATGCTGATGAGAAGAATAAATTTTTACGGAAAAAATTACACTCACCAAACATGTGAAAGTAAATCAGCATAGCTATCTAATCATATGCACACCAAAAACATCAACATTCACAAATTTGTGAATGCACCGCTTTTTATTTGAAAGCTTTATATTCCAATTTTTGTTACAGTTATGATATTTCTGCTGAGTCTGGTTGCATTGTTCTGTTCATGCGAAACCGCAAGAATGAATTCTCCCGTTTAACACCAAAATGATACTTTGACAAAGCGAAACGAAACTTTTTTTTTTCTAGATCCTTTTCAAGTTTTCAATAAGAATAGAAAGTACTTATAAATGACGGACCATGTTAAGACACAACAAAACTGAGGCTGCCCATCATAGCTGATATATCAGGCGATACGTCCGCAAGGGGTGTGGACTCCCACCGATATATAACATAGGTGATACGTCTGGAAAGAGTCAATATTGCCAAGCATATACTGTCGAACCTGTGTGTAAGACAGCCACCCATTGTTGAGGAGAAAAATGGCAGTGTAAGACAGGTGGCTGTCATAAGCAGGACTGATCGAAATGAAGAAACCAAACTATTCCCAGCTCTGGACTGCTGTAAGGCTAATTATATTATGAGTTTTTGTTTTGTTTTGTAAAAGGAGGGGGTACAAAGGTTATTTTTGTGGTTTTTGTCTTTTTTTTTTTATTAGCTTTTTGTTTTGTTGCTGATTTTGTGCAAGGGTAAAATAAAAAGAAATGTGTCAGATGAGGAAGACAGAGTGCTATGGTAAAACAAACAAATGAGTTGCCACCACTCAGAGAAGGAAGGAGCAACGCTTCTGTCACACGTTCTGTTGATGTCCATTGTTACGGACTGGGTAAACAGTGACCGCTTATCTCACTTACGATGTGTGTACGAGTTGTGGTGAGGGCTTACGGTTATGATGGATCACTCGCTTCCCTCATCGGTAGCTGAGCAACTGAAATTTATTGTTGCTGGGTGGTCAACTTGGGTCAACAGTGGGAGTGGGAGGGACCTACGCAAAATGTTTGGTTCATTCATTGGAGGGAATAACAATAACACCAGGTGCATGTATTATGACGGCTCGTCCACAACGTAGGGGCCAGTATATAAGATTTATGACAAAGCCTTGGGCGATGAGAGATTTGCATGGCCATCTTAGAAAGGTTTTTTTTTGTTGTTGTTGGCAGATAAAATAGGGTGGCTATAGTCATGTTGGACGGGTGACCGTTTTACACAGTGAAAGTGTAAAGAAAAAATGCAAGGAGGGGAATGGCATGTTTGACTATATATGTTGGTGACTGGTCATTTAGGTGGGTGGTAAGGTGTAGTGTCTCCTTTAGCAAGATGTTATTTAAAAATTTAAGCTGAACAAGGGGACGCTGCATTTTATTGTGGTGACCAACAAAATCATGTAGGTAGAAAGTTTACTGTATTAGTGTAATATTTGTGACGACACAGTGGAATTGATTGTGTTCAGGTAGTAGATCAGTAGGACAAGTTCTGTTTGCAGGTAGGGGGATGAATATTATTATCTAGTCCTTTTATTCAATGTTTAAAAAAATACATATTTATGCTGACCGTTAGTTTTTAATAGGGGTGTAGAAATCATACTGCATCGAGTGAGATTGTTTGGGCTAGCTGCTTCTACATTTGGTTAAAATTATCAGGTCCTGGTTTTCTGTGTTCTAGACTTCATGAAATTTACAATATGTCAGACAATTGCTGATGAGTCTCTATTTACTCTTGTTGGGTGGTTGGCAGGTGCTCTGGTGTGGTTTGCTCCTTCTTTCCTTTCAAACATCTATTGTCCTTATCTCCCCTTCTTCTTTTTTATATTCGTTAATCTTTTGTAACACCTCTAATCTTCTGGCGCTCATATGACCTAATGCAGTTGCGTGCGCCATAAAACCTCTACTAAAACTAAACTCTCTTCCTTCTTTTTTTGTGTTTGTTACTCTCTTGTAACACCTCTAATCTTCGGCCCTTATATGACCTTATTGTGTTGCAAGCGCTTATTAAAACTAAAACTATGTACCCCTACTTATCTAAACCTAACTCTGCTACTGTTGTGACTGGGGAACATTTGAATTGGAAATGTTTCCTTTTTTCTCATAGACTGGGAATTTCCAACAAAGCTGACGATTGTATGACCTTGAACATCATTCCAAACACGAAGAAGAGGCGTGCAGCTGTTCCGTCTTTTATGCATGAGGTGTCAACGCTGAGGCATACCCTGACCACGTGCTTAAACATCAGGGAACCACCCAGCAAGGTTTTCTTTATTTATGATTCTTTATTTGGTTGGGGAGGAGGGCAGGCAGGGAATTGTCCCCTGTAATGCATTCTTCTTATTTATGGAGACAAAGAAAAAACCCAGCAATGCATCCTTAATTGTTTTGCACTCTCTACTGGAATTTCCAGAGTTTTAAGCAGCACCAAGGAAATATTATTAGTGTCAATTGAAATTAAAAGCAGTTGTCATTCCTATCAGGTTGAGAAAAGTCATTGCATTCTTCAAAGTGAATATCAAAGACTATGTGAAGTGGAAGATTATAGAGCTGCTATAATATAACTGCAGACAGTGTTAGTCTGATATTAGGTGACATATATCTATTTCTATAATTTTTGCTTGAAAACACTCTTGTATCATGTTTTAACACAGTACGAGTTTACGGAGAGAAATTTATGAAATATGATTTTTGATTCCAAACAATTCCGTTTTCTGGCACATTTAACACCTGCAAACCATTTGCCTTACTTTATTTTTCCGATCCAGCAGCCGTCTGGGTTCTAGCCCTTTGGCCTGTCGATATGGCAAAGAATTTACAGGTTTTTATCAGCTGTGTTTTGTCACTATAAAGTATTCCCGATATCTGGGGAGACAGGTAGGTAGGTGCTACGCAGGTTACTAACTGCAGGGCAAGTAAAGAGATGGTATGATCCTGCTTCATCCTGGTAGTCACTTAACGGGCAGTTAGGTGGGGTATCCTTACGAATCCTATTACGGTAGGAATTTTCAGTGGGATGTGTTGACAGGCGAAAGTTAGTGACTTGCTTTCTTCTACTCAGGGAATTTAGTGCATCTTTTGAGTTGGGAGCATTCATGTTTGCAAATACAGCTCTTCCAGTTTTGCCAAACTATTTGCCTTAAAAGTAGTAATTTTGAACATACATGGTTTGTTACTCTTAGTGTTGCTATGTTGTGTATTCATCATATGTATATGATCCAGCTGTTCCCGTTTTTTGTCTGTGAATTTTAAGAGATGCCTCTCTTTGGTTTTGTCCAGGCTTTCATCAGAGCCCTAGTTGAGCACACGACCAACCCTAAGGAAGCACGACGTATGCAAGAGTTGTGCAGCAAGGAGGGAGCCCAGACCTACACGCGTGTCGTACGTGAAAAGTGCATCTCTCTTCTCGACTTCCTGCATGCGTTCCCATCCTGCAAGCCCCCGGTGGAAAGAGTTTTAGGTGGGAAAGTGAAACAAAATAGTACACTTTGAGAATACTACAAGAACATGTTCTCCTTCACAGTCTACACACAATAATACAAATACTGGTTTGGATGTCATCATACTTGTGCTGATGAAATCATTTTGTTTTCTTTTAAACGTGGAAGTGTAATTTTTACTTCTACTCTTTGTATTAAAAAATATGTCAGTCTCTAGAAATAGTAGCAACTTTATTATGCTAACCTGCTTTTGTAGGTGATGAATCTATTTTTTCTTGTTTCGCAGTTTCCCCACCCCAACTTCCATCTCTACTTTTTATGTAAAACAGATGAATATGGACGCTTGTAAAACATTTTTTTGGGAGCAGTTGATTTCCCATGTTCTGATGACAGCAAAAGATACCCGTTGAGAGAATCAGCGTGAGCATTTTCATGTTGCAGTATAGCTTCAATGTTGTGTTGTTGTTTTAATGTTTTCTGCTGTTGGGTCTGTTTCCAGAACATCTTCCAAGACTACAGCCTCGTCCTTACTCTGCCTGCAGGTAGGTTTCGAACTCGTACTTCAAAAGTGGTCTGTTTGGTAAATTTCTTTTTTTTTTTTTTTTCCTTCTATTTTGCTCAATGAGATGTAACTAGTGGTGTTGAAATTGTGTTGTTGGCATATGCTCTAGTATGTTCAGCTCCTTCTTTCCTATCACACAACTATCGTCTTTTTCTCTTCTTCTTTTTTTGTCAATATTACTCTTTTGTAACTCTTCTAATCTTAGGGCACTAGTATGACCTAATTGTATTGCAAGTGCCGTAAAACACTTCCTTAAACAAAACAAGGATGCTGAACATATTTCTGTATGAGTGGGTAGTTGATGAGTACTCTGGTGTGGTTTACTCCTTCTTTCCTATCAAACATCTATTGTCCTTGCCTCCCCTTCTTCTTTTTAATGTTTGTTACTCTCTTGTAACACCTCTAATCTTCTGGCGCTCATATGACCTTATGCAGTTGCGAGTGCCATAAAACCTCTACTAAAACTAAAAACTATCAAACATCTATCGTCTTTATATATATATCTCCTCCTTCTTTTTTGTGTTCGTTACTCTTTTGCAACACCTCTATCTTCGACACTTTTATTACCTTTTTGTGTTAAGCACTTACTAAAGCAAATTGAGGATGTTGAAAATACTCCTGTGTGTATTTAATTTCAGCTGTGCTCTGACCGACAAGGACAAGTTAGATATTGTGTTCAATATAGTGGAGATCCCAATGTCATGTGATGATGGACACGCCTACAGTCGGCGCGGTGTGTGCACGGGATGGCTGGACGATATCACTCGTAGCATGCAGGACAAAGGGCTAGAGGACGAGGAGCTTACAGTCGAGGTGGGCAGTGTTTGGGTGTTGTGGTGACGTCTCTGCTCTGTCTACCAAGTGTTGAGTTTTGTACTAACATATCGAGGGTAGACACAAAAGTTAGCCCACAATATTTTTGTTCTTATTTGTAGTGCATGCCGACTCTCGATTTCTTAATGAGGATTTGCAGATCAACCTCACCAATGGTTTTAGAAGCGAAAAAAATCCCTAAAGCTAGTTGACCTATTTCTTTTAGTTATGTGGTCAAAGTTTAGGCATAACGTCATCGATATTTGAGTCACGGGGGATGATAAATCTCAAATTAACATGTTAACGACCTCTTGTTCTTTGCTCTTACCATGTTGTTCCCATTGATGTTGTTGTTTTGTAGGTGGTTGGTAGGTGCTCTGGTGGGGTTTGCTGATTCTTTCCCATCAAGCATCTGTTTCCCTTATCTCTCCTTCATTTTTGTGTTTGTTACTCTCTTGCAATACTCTAATCTCTGTCACTTCCACAACCTTATGGTGTTACAAGTGTCGTAAAACTCGTTGTTGGATGGCGGTGCACACATATACAGTCGAACCAACCAAGATGGCCTCGTGAACAAATAGCCACTTTCTTTTTCCCCTTGCGTTTTTTCCAATGTAATTAAGTTGCAAAGACTTAAAGGATCCAACTTAATCATAGAAAGCAGAAAAATACAAAGATCCCTACAAGACCATCTACCAGCCACAGTCAACATGCTGAACCATACCCCAGAGGCACCATCATGGGAAAAGAAAAACACAAACATAATTATACACACATCCATCCCTATGTTCACAAAAGATGGCCATTTGTTCAGTTGGTATCATGCTGGGCTGTGGACTGGATGGCTGTGGTTCAAATCCCAGACTAGACTTCTCGATTTCAAGCCGCTTTGTGGAGTTTTCATGGCTTTGAACCCATTGGCTTAGTCACATTGGAGACAGACATTAAATTCGGAGGTTTTGCCTCCAGTCTAATAATCTAATTGTGTTGATAGGGGCGTTAAACACGTACACTTACTCTAATCTAGTGAGCTTGGGTTGTCACTGACATGCAGCAGGGTAGCAGCAGCCCTCGTCCTTAACCCTATCCGTATGTCGTGTTTTGGTATCGTATCCATACGCCCTGGGGAACTCTGTGCCTCGACTTTCCAAAGAGGAAATTTAGTCGTTAATTTGATCCGTAGGCTTTGTATAGCAGTCTGTCAAAATTATTTTTTTAGAAATACTGAAAGTTTCAGTCTTCGTACTAAAAGTATTCTGAAATGTGAAGAATCCAACCCGGGGGGTACAAAATGATCCCAGGGCATACGGATAGGGTTAATCATGAAAATTATGTTGATCAGAGTGTAAAACATTTAAACATTAAAAATTACAACTATTACTCTCTTCAGATCCCGATATTCCTACGCAGCAACCAGCACTTCCAGCCCCCGGATGATCTCTCTCGCCCGCTGATCCTGATTGGTCCAGGCACGGGTGTGGCTCCATTTATTGGTTTCCTGGAAGAGAGAAGGCACCAGTTGAAGCTGCAGCCTGAGGGGTCAACTTATGGGGAGACCTGGTTGTTCTACGGCTGCCGTCACCAGAAGAAAGATTTCTTATTCCGGTAAATCTTGGGGGATGATTTTTTGACACTACCATCATCATTGTTATAAAGTTGTAAAAAAATGCACTGGGCCTTGGTGTTAATTGCACAAAAATCAATACTGTTTTGTTTTTTGTGATATAAATGAACTGATGTATTACTTTTTTGTATTGAAGATAAAATGAAGTTATTACTGCTCTGTTACAGAGATGGGACAGGTGTTACTTTTGTTTTGTTACAGAGATTGAGGTGATAATGTTACTGTTTTATTACTGAGGTAATACAGATGCTATTACTGTTTTGTTACAGAGATTGGGATGATGTTATTGCTGTTTGGTACTGAGATGGGGGGGGGGGTGTAATTATTGCTGAGACTGAGCTGATAATGTTCCTGTTTTATTTAGAGATAATTATAATACTAATGTTGTTAGTTTTGTTACAGAGATTGAGCTGAAGTTGTTACCGTTTTGTCTTCTCTCTCAGAGATGAACTTCATCAGTTTGAAGCGGACGGCACGTTGTCTCGACTGTGTGTGACGTTCTCACGGGATGATCCGCCAGCTGGCAGCACCGAGCCATGTCTTCGGTACGTCCAGGACTTTCTGCGCCAGACATCTCAAGATATTGCCCGGCTGGTCGTGGACGAGGAAGCCCTGGTCTACCTGTGTGGAGACGCCAAGGCAATGGCTAAAGACGTGACTGCTGCATTTGAAGATATTTTGCAGAAGGAGAAAGGTATGCTCTTTTAATTTTTGTTTCTCTTATATTTACATTTCCCTTCGAATATGTTCACGTTTTCATTTTTTCAGAAGTTGTCCGTGGACTTTTGAAACTGGGTAGTGAGTGTTCCAAGCCACCTTTTTTTCTTGATTCATAGTTTTATTTGTTGGGGTTTTTTTTGTCTGTGATGTAGACTTTTTTCTTTCCCCAAACAAACTCTGCTTGTCCAGTTCATGGTTTTGCTCCTGTCCTTTCCCCTCATAACTTGATAAAATTACTCCCATGGGAATCAGACTCTCCTCTTCCCAGTATCCCCATCTGTCTGTTGGAAAGCCCTATCCCTCTCATTCCAGGCAGGCGTTAAGGCACAGGGTTGAAGCAGCTGCCTTCCTAATTGATCTAAATAGCATTGATGGAAGCATAAAACACTTACAAAATTATCATTTTTTAAAAATCGAGGTAAAAAATGGGTGGGTAAAGTAGAGGGTGCTTGTGTTAGTTGGTCCTACTTCTTTCCTCTTTTATGTGTGGGTGGTTGGCGGATGCTCTGGTGTGGTTTACTCCTTCTTTCCTATCAAACATCCATCTTCTTTTTTGTGTTTGTTACTCCCTTGTAACACCTCTAATCTTCGGCACTTAAAGGACCTTATTGTGTTGCAAGTGCTGTAAAACTCTTACTTAAACTTTAAAAAACCCTCGTTTTATGTCGTTTGAGTTCTGTCTGCCTTTCTTTCTTTTTTCCCAGAAAGATACACTTTGGTTGTGTCGATATACTTATCTTTTTACTAAAACCAGTTCAAATTCAGCAGCTAGGTAGGCCTATATTTTGCATTTTAGCTGGTTGTTATTTCTTATCTGTGGATGGTTGGAGGGCGCCACATGTATGTCCTACTTCTTTACTGTCCCTTTGTTGTTTCTGTCTGTCTGTTTTACAGCTTCCCAGCACTAAATGACAATTATTGTGACAATGTGCTTCTCTTAACTCAGACAAAAGGAAACTAGAGTAAACCAAACAAATATTTCTTGTTCTTTTGTCTTTCAGGATTCTCCAAAGAGGATGCAAACATGTACATCATGAAAAAACGAATTCACAAGACCTTTTTAGAGGACGTGTGGACATGATGTGATCTTACAAATTTAATTCTTTTGTGTATTAAAAAGATTTGTAATTTTTTTTTACTGAGAAAATTATGTGCCAGCAAATGCATAGTACGTTATTCCTTAAGCATTCTCTTACGTAGGGCAACACTTCACTGACAAGTAGGGTCTCTTTGGTTCTTCAGTTGTTGGTATTTGTGTTTGTGTTAGCCCAGCGCATGTGAGTAGTTGTATTTTTGGAAACATTATTTGTGAATGGATAAATTTATGAGTGTGTTTTAACCACGACATTTGTACAGCTGCCAACCAGCATACAAAAACCGTATTTAATACATTTTTGAGGGTCTGAGTATCGATATCTGTTTTGGTAGATAGGAAAATAGGTCTACAAATACGTATTCTCTTTTTTTTAGTATTGTTCCGTATGGATTTGGCAATGCTGAGGACAAATTATGAACTTTCAAGATTAAATTTGCATATATGATATGAAAATGAAGGCCAAAAGTCAATTTGAGGGATCTTTTGCTGCAGGTCTACTTTAAATAACTTGAATTTGTTGAATGCAAACAAGTTTATGTGAATGGTTTGGGTTGGGGTCACCCACCTGTTTTTGTTTTGTTTTTTTGGGGGGGGGGTGGAAAGGTGGCAATTTTTCAGTAGTATATTCTTCTGTGATAGTAGTAAGTAGTCACATAACACCCTTATATTACTTCAGCTTCATCACAAATAGCAATATGCCCATTCATGAACTTTTTGTCAAATATTTCCTTCATTTTCAAACATAGACTCTCTAGTTTTTGTACAATGACTTGTATCAATTTGTCTTACTGATCAATATTTTTGTAAACACTTGTTTGCTGTATTCCAGAAAATTCTTTAAATACTAATAAATAATCAAAATGGATGGTTTCCACAGATTTTAAGAGGTTTACCGCTAGTGCAATATCGCTTTTAAGGGTAGGGGGCTATGGTATACACAATCTGGCTGTTTACTTATCATTGAGCTAGTTAGTTGGGCATCGTTTGGTTGAAAAGAAGTACCCTGAACCTTAAAATACACATTTTCACATTTTTCCACGGCATGGCACCACAAACAAAATGCCGAGCTAGCATTTTGTATACAACTTTAGTTTACGTAGATCTCAACAACCATTCAAGAAAGAGGCCTAATATTTAGCCTAGTTACACATGTGGGCATCCTCTACCACCGTACAAAATCAGAATTCAATTGTTTTCATCTGTTCCCGAGATATTCAGCCTCAAAGTGGGCTATAATTGGCTATATTAAAATCTTAAACATTTCAGAACAAATGGACACGAAACTTCTCTTCATTTAAAAATTACAAGATATAAGTAAAAAAATATCTTTTTAAAGTGGTAGATGTACATCTTCAGAACATTAACTTTTCAGCCAATTCTGACGGTAACTTGCAGAGATCTACGCGAAACAGTGGGACACATGTGTAGGAAAAAGGCGTTTTGAGAAAAACGCGAAAAACGAATTCAAATGCTCAAAAGTGAGCCAAAATACAGTTTTATAGTACAAAACTCCACATATTATGAATACTGAGAATATTGTCAGCCTTCTCAACAAAGGAGAACCACCTAACACTAGGTACCACAAGCGAACATTTTTTAAAACAATATTGATGTTTAAACCTTAGGGGTTCAAATCTACTCAATAATACAAGAACATTAAAAAAAAGAATGATCAAAATCCATCAATAAACAATCGAGATATGGTATTTCAAAGTTTTATTTTTGAACGAAACCTGCGACTTTCACCCATGTTTGAGGTGTTCTAAAATACAAAGTGCCTGATCAAATCAATGAAAACTTTGTTTTTCTCAGAGCTGTCAACACAAATATTGATATCTCTAAATCAAAGCATATTAGACTGACTGGTTTCCAAGACATAGGCCTTCAAAAATTGAAAAAAAAAGCCAAAATATGTCAACATGAGCTCAGAACCCTATTTCAACCCCTTCCAAATTAGTCAAAACTGCCTCCTCATTACATGCATAGACTTAGCTGAATTTTTTTCAGACCTCTCTGACAATAAGTAACTTTTCTGGACTCCTCTGAAGTGGGCTTCGGTGCAAAAAACGCCTCTTGGAAAAAAAATTAGGGAAACTCTGGTACATCCTTGGGAAAAGATATCACAAGTGAACAAATTAAGCTACAGGGCTAAATCATACATCAAATTGAAGCTGAATGCAAGCTCTATGAGGCCAAATGAAAATTGTTTACTAAAACCTCTATTAACGCTCCATAACAGGGCCCTAATGCCCAAAAACCTGCCGTTATTGAGTGAAAATTATAATGTCTGCCGATTGGAAAAAAAATTCATATGAAATCAACAAATTGTGCTACAAGGCTGCATTATATATCAAATTAAAGCTCTTTTCTGGCTCTGTACAGTGAATTAGTTTATAGAAAGTAAAACCCTTCCAAACATTTCAGAAATTGACAATAATGTGAAAAAAGTCATCAATATTGGTTCAGAAAATTAAGATTTCTGTTCAGGGGATTTAAAAATTGGAATTAAATCAACATACTGTTCTACCGTGGTTTATTTTGTATAATATAGATCTAGTTCTAGATTTATTTATCATTTTAGCTGAGAAAGAAACCAGTGGCTGGGGAAATACAATGTATCATCATGTGTCCAGTAAGTTGAATGAAGAAAGAGTGTTTTGGGGGGGGGGGGGGGGGGGGGCATTTCTCCAATTATCAGGTGACATCTAATTTGATTCAATATTTGAATATCCACCAATCAAGAACGTTGATCTTGCCATTTTGCTATCAAATTAAATGCCAAACATTAGATCTACGAACATTTCCATCGGCAACACTAACACCCGGTAACCCCCTTCCGAGTGTTTAGTGTGTGATGTCATGTTACTATAAATAGAACTCCCAGTTCAACTATTCACGGCTTTATTCTTTCACCTTGTCGACCAGAGATGCTTAGATTTCGATGCATTTAGAATAAAGGTGTTCTTAATTGAAAAGACGGCAAAAATACCGCCATGAAGCGATACATTTGTATAGATCGCAATTAATTCACTATGAGGTGGTGAAAATGTAGGTCGGCGTGATTCCCACCAAACAATAACAATCCAACTACTCGGCAAGTGGTGGCCGATTAGTCTTATTTTTCAAAATACGATATTCATAAGTATCCTAAAAGAAAAGTATGATAACACTTACATAAATTGACGCCATGAACAGATCCATTGAATGTTTCTTTCCCTGAATCATCTTATAATCGTCTGTTGGTTGGATCTCGTCAGAGGGGGCGGCAATGGACGACGGAACAGCCACAATGGCAGAATGAAGATCTCCTGAAAGTGGTTGTTACCCCACTTCAGGAACAGTAATATTTCTACTTCGTGGAACGTAGTTGGCTTTTCTAAACACATAAACTTGATGGTAGAGATGTCTAAGAATGTGATCCTGGCACAGAAAGCCCAATTTGTGTTGAATTTCACATTTTTAAAATGCTTTCTTCGTCTTTACTTCGTACCACTCATGCTTTCCGCTTGAAATAAAAACATAAAGTTTGATAAACACATTCCTCGGAAATTCTCCTGAAATCCCAGGTTTTTATGTATCAAACCGCAAGAAAATTAGATGATTCACCTCTGAGAAATTTAAATTTAAAACAAGTACCCCCCAAATCTAAGCGCGCAAAATTGCGAGACGGCCGAGTTTTCCCGTGTTAGACTTTAGTCAATTAAAAACTAAATATGCAATCATAAGTATCAGTTTCTCGTTCACCATGGAGAAGGAAAGACACACTGTGACACAAAACAGTTGTATCATTTTTATTAGTGTTTACAAAAATTAAAACCAGCTGATAGTTGGATGAAGTTGTCCAAATCTGGCTTCAGCCATAGCTGTCTGCCTTCAAAACGGCCCGTCTGCGGTATCTACTAATAGCAATATAAACAAGAATTCCCCCCCCAAGAAAAAAGTAGTAAAATTCAGGCAAAAGTGTCACTATCTCCAGTCTCCACCACCAGAGACATAAGACTGCCCATGAGTGTCAATGAGCCTCTGCCCCTCCCTTTGTTTGGCATCTACCTTGGCCTGGCGAAATCTCCTTGCCTTCTCTGACTGCTGCTTCTGCTTTTACAGTCCTCGAATGGCTTCATTTCGTTACCAACGGGCAAGTTGTGGTTGTCTAAATACTTCCACACAGCAGATGCTCCACAGTTGAATTCTGCGACTCCCACAGACACATAATTTTTAAAGCGTGTGGGCGCTTTCGTTTGCATTTTATGTTATCTGCAGGATGCAGCGCCCCAACAGCTTGTCGGTCTACATTCGCTCGAAAGTTGGTCGGATGCTGTCCACGACAATCTTGCAGAGAGGAGTCCCCACATTCTCCTCATGGCTGCCTGGTGGTAGGCCTTTTGTGTTTTCCTTCTGCCAAAAACCCCACGAGTCATCTCCCTTTGGACAGTTGTCGTGTTTGGGATCGCCGTCGGTTGACGTTGTGGTCAACGATCGCAGTCACTGCTTCTTTCATGGCAGGCACTGTGGTGTTGCTGCTGATGGCCTTGGTGTAGTACTTTTGGAGGATTGTGATAACTTTAAGTCGGAGTTTGCCATGGCCTTTCCCTCCCAGAGTGACCAAAGGCTTCACCTTGGACTACTCTGCAGCCAAGTTCTTAAGTACCGTCCCTAGTCGTTTGCCGACCTGGTGGACGCACTCATGTTTTGCCACTTTAATGTCAGGGTAGGGATCAAGAGCATGCGACTCAGATATGGTCTTTTGCATTTCCATTCTAATTGTTCAGACATCTGAGATTGTTCTTCATCACTGATCGGCTCCAGATCTGCAGGGCCGCCTCTTTCTCCGTGCCCCCGCTCGGCCTCTGGTAACTGGCACCACACACCACTTTGTGGTCTCTTTGCCTACGTTTTACAACATTTTCCTGTTCCAGTCTTTTCCCAGTGGTAGCACAGATCGGACAATAACTGGTCAGAACTTCATAGTTGACGATGAGGCCAGTTTTCTGCTCGATGACGAGTCCGATGCCTGACTGTGAGTTGTGGCCACGCTTGTGTCAACTACCGTCAAAGGAGACATGGATGTCTTTCACTCTGAGGTCTGCTCCGGATAGGCTGCCTTCACAGTCTCCTCTGCCTTCTCCATAACATCCCTTTAGAATACTTCACTTCTGTCACTAATGACTCTAGTGTGCCCTGCAAAAGTTTTGTGATGGAGGACTGGAATGTTCATTTACTCAGAAAATCTGGCGAAACCAATATATCCCTTTCCGGTTGCAGATGCAGCATCAGCTGCTCTTCGATTAACATCAAACACAGACTGGGCACCAGCACATTTTGATGATGTCATCGTCGAGTTCAGATTATTTCTACATTCACACGATCAATGAAATAGCTAGACCATTGTTCTTCTTGTCATTTTCAAGCACAAGAGGCAGTTTGCAGCATTTCAAATTAGGGCACAGAAGTCCAGAGAAAAGCGGTTTCAGCATTTCCAGGTCGGCAATAGTAGAAGGCAGCCTTGTGCTTTCTTCATGGTCCTGAACAGGTTCAAACGGGAAGGCCAGTTTTTGCTTTGAGGCAGAGCACACATCGTCTTGCTCAATGGGCTGTGCTGATGCTGACGGTGTGCCAGATGCTAATGATACAGGCTGTGACGGAGAGTCAGGTCGAGAAGAAGATGGACCAGGTGTAGGTAAAGGCGGCGACAGATCAGGTTGAGGTGAAGGTGGTGACTGTTCAGGTTGAGTCGAACTGCTAGATTTTTTCTTAGGACGGCTTTGACAGGAAGCAAGAAGCTGTTGACGTCTCCCCTTCTTCTTCCCAAAGGTGTTGGTCTTTTTTGTATCTCCTTTCACCATGATGAATGATCAATGATTGGATCTGTGAATACAGAGTAACAAAACAACCGCTTAGTATTGAGCAGACAAGTAATGAGCACTACTAGGCCTACTACAAGAAAATGCCTTTCTGTGTAGCAAAAAAATTGGGCCATTTTCAAATTTGCTGAGGACAGACCATTAGGACCTTATGATTCTTCACTGCTTGGGCTGTGCTGTTTGTATATCAGGTCTCATAAAGAAAATGCCGTTATGTGAAACAAAAAAATTGATTGGGCAAGGGATCCCCTGCTGCTGAAGCCATTTCAAATTTGCTGAGGACAAATGATTAGAATCTTATGATTCCTCCAAGTCTAACCATATTCAAAACAATTTCCAACCCATTCATTCACTCAAATGCACCTAAGCCTAAAACTAAAGATCTACTCATCTAGATCTAGTTCTGTATCTATCTCTGTGTCAAACAATCTATGATGTGTGAAACTTGAATGGTAACTTCAGACTAACAGTAGCAATACTGCTTATACAGTGGGTGTCGCATTAAACTAGGTTGCCGGGACCGGCTTGTTATCCTCGTTGGATCCGACCTCTCGTTGAACGTGACTAAGGCTAAAGTAAAGAAAGGAGACAAGTTATTAAAGTTATTATTATATTAAACGATGCACCAATACCAGTAATTAAAACAGTTGTTCCCCCTGATGACGAAAATCTCGAACAGCATCAGTGTGCGTCTATTTGAGCTGTGTTCTGACCGTCATTTAGGCCTGTTTAAAAATATTTTTTTTCCGGAACGCTTCCCGTGTGGAAACATTCCTCTCACTTCTTGGCCTAGATCTACATAAAGTAAAGGCGGGAGCTTGGATTTTCTGATCAGGGGAAGAAAAGAAAATTTAAAAAAAATGATTCTTGATCTAGACCTCCATCCAGAGTTCATCCAGTTTCACACAGCCCGTGTCGCGTTCCCACCTGCCCTAGGATACTGGGAAAGCCTAGCACTCACCCGGTCCCACCCTTATCGTAGGACAACCCTCACCCATCCTCTTGGCTTTGGGGCCCATAATATTAGGAGGCACTCTAGATCTAGCAATACTGTAATACAATGTGTTGGGAATCGAGGATGGGCTTTGTGCTTCGCATGAGATGTAGAGAAAGGAGAAAAATTCTTTGCTTTTGGGGCCCCTAATTGCTTTTATTTGGTTATCGCGACCTCGTTGAAACCGACTTGGGTCTGTTTGCAACCTCGTTGGAGCTGGCGTACATTTACAAAGAGATATAGAGGAAAAAATCGGGGATTAAGGATTGCCTCGTTGGAGCCGACTTCTTGTTGAATATGACCTCGTTAAATGCGACACCCACTGTAGTACCTATAGGGATATTAGATCTAGGCTCACCGCAGATAAAAAATAGACAGTCACAGTGAGGAAGAGAACGGAGAACATAGACTTGACGTTTAGTGTGTATCGAAGAAAGACTAGAGATCTAATGTATTGCTCGTGTAGCAATTTTTACTCAAAAAAGTGTCATTAGTGAGCTGTGACGTAGGCCATGTGTATGCAAAATGTGTGTGAGAAGCGGGAAGTGCTGTGAACAGTTCCATTTTTCGTGTGGCGAAGATTTATAGCATTTTAAAAAATCTATGAAGAAAAGTTTTTAAATCAAGCCTCAATTATTACGGATATACATGATTAAGTTGAGACAAATTGATACAAATTGCTGTGCAAAGAAAGGGTGACATTGATTCACCCGTTAAAGAGATATTTGAGGATAAATTATTATGCCATGAATTTTTTACTACACTTAAAGATTGTTTCTCTCAAGACATAGAAATGTAATGGAAGACCAGACCGAAATTCAAGTCTGTCCATCTTGAGGTTTATTGTCTGCTAGACATAACTGTTTGCTAAAGAAAAAGAAATCTACGTATGGGAATTCCTAATATTGTGCATGTCATTCTTGTTCTGGTACATTTTTGGTCAGTGTGTCTTTCAGAGTGATTGATTTGCCCCATGATAGTTAAGGTAAAAAACTTTTTAAATCATACCTGAGGGTTTATCTCAAAAATCTAAATTTTTAATAATTTAATGGATGCAAATTGTTTTTTTGTAGAGGTTCTGCTTCTTGTATTGGAAAAAGGTCTTGCTTTTTTATTTGTATATATTGAAAATTCTTTTTTCAAATTTTAAAAAAATTGCCATCTTATAGACCCCAGAAAATGTGGTACTCATTAGTATGACATTGACCTAAAACTATGTTGACTCTAGATGCAAAATGTATTTTCTTTTTTTTTATTCATAGAATTAAATGTTCTGATGGTTTAAAAGCTGTTGAAATGTTATGCATGCACATTGTATATGATAATAATAATGAAATGCATTTTTAAAAGTGCTTACTCCCATGTACACATAGCTCTAGGCACTTTACGTAAATCAGAAAAGGAGATAAGAACTGAAAAAAATCTAGC